TGTGGGAATTGGCAACTACCATCTGGCTCTGCTTCCAGGAGTAAAAAAATGTAAATATATATGTATAAATATGTATATATATATATATATGTATGTATATATATATATTTACATTTTTTTCCTCCTGGAAGCAGAGCCAGATTGTAGTTGCCAATTCCCACAGAATGGGGCAGTTGGAGAAGGGTGAGCAGACTGGATGCCTCTGTCAGTATTACACTGAGTGGAAGGGGGTTCTCTCTGCTGGTCACCAAAGAAACTGGATTCTTTGAGGCCGCACAGGGGGTGCTGAGATTCACAACAGCATCACCTCTCAAAGCCTTGAGAAACTTCTGAGCTAGAAAGGGAGTTCCTGCCATGGCCCTCCACAATTTCACTTCTAAGCATACGGTGCTCTGTCTTGTGAAGACGATGTGCTTTTTCTTCATCTGAAGCCTTGAGAGTTTGTGGTAAATTGCTACCACACAGATAGTTACAACAAGGGGCAAGCCATTTGAATGGGGGAGCCCCTGTACCCCAACATAATTATGCAATGAGAAAGATACTGGGGCAGCACCTTTCTTGGCCCCTTTCCACAGGTCCTTCTGAGGATTAAGCTGGTTTCTCAATTGTTAGAGAACTAAGGCAGAGTTGAAATAGGACCTGAGTTTTATAGACATCCTTTTTTTTTTTTTTAAGTGACTAAATTTTAGAACGGCTAAAGATATTCAACTTGGCTGCTCTTCCCTTCCTTCCCAAAAATATTAATTGTGCACCTGCTGGGTACCCCCGTGCCCAAGGGAATGCAGAGATGCCTGGGCGTCCACCTGGGTGAGTCCCCAGCAGAGCAGGGCATGGGAGCTGGGCATGAGATTGTTCAAGGCGTCAGAGAAGGAGTCCAGGCAGGCTTGAGCACCGTGGGGTGGGAGTGGCCAGACCCGCCTCTGCTGCATCATCTAAGGTGCTGGGCTCGTTCACTTGAGGTGCACTCAAAGTACTACATTCAGTTTGGGACCGAGGGCCAACCATTCCCAGCAATCAGTTGTGTCCTTGAGTGGAAGAGAAAGAAGGATAGACTTTCTCTGAGCAAAGGCTATGGCAGTTACGTTTTTTCAAATACAAGTCCTTTTTACACAAGAACTTCTTAATAAGCTTTGCAGGGCTGCTATCAAAGCATCCTGCCGCTAGAGAAGAGAGAGAAAAGGTAAACAGCCTGCACATTCCAGCCCTGCCTGTGACTTCCATGCGATTGGCCGCTGCTTTCTCACAACACTAATTAAATTTGTAGCCTCCGGGAAAGCATATAGACATCTGAACCAATTATGAATTCAGAATCGCAAGCGAAATCCCTCTGTTTATATCAGTCTAGTTGAATACAAACCAGATCAATTAGCTGTCAGTCTGGCTAACTAATATTTACTCTGCCTCGTCATTTCTGATTAAATATTGGGCAAAATTAGCTGGCGTACCCACGTGTGTAGTGTTATCTTTTCCTCGTGGCGCGCCAGAACGCTTTCCTACGTGAGCAAAGCATTTCTGTGACACCTTGGCGTTTGGAGATGGTATGATTAGTATTAATAAGAAAAGGACAAGATGAGTTAATATTATTCAGAGACACTGGAATGCAGAGTTGCCATTGGGTTCGAATGACCAAACTGGAAATGAATGTTACAGGGCTCCGGTACAGTCCGATCGAATGCAGATGGTATTTTATTTTAATTAGCTCCAGTCCCTATTGTGTAAGAGCACTTTGATAAGTGATGGAATTTACAGTCAACCCCTACCTCACAAAAGAGCTGCGAGAGTGTACATTTGTTAAAGCAAAGCAAAACACAAGCGGGGAGGGAATATTTAAGAGTTCCTTAGCCACCCGTGCGTGAGCACGCACATGCATTTATTAAGTATCTTTTTGCATGGATCGCATACCAGAATTGTGCTGTTGTTTTCTTTGCATTCTTAATTACCTTCACTTGATGTTTTGGTGGTTTTTTTTGCTTTTGTTTTTGTTTTTGTTTTTGTTTTTTTACCACCCTTGAAAAGGGCCATTTTACTCCAAGTGCTTTGTGGATCAGCCCTCTCCTCGGGAGAACAGCCCAACTGTTCTCCGCATGCAGTATCAGTCACTGGGTTTTTCCAAGGGCTATCATTTAAGCAAACTGAAAGCATTTGTTTTTAACTTGTTCTTGTGCCAAAAGTCTGGAGAAGGGTGGATGTTACAGAAGCATCGGCCAATGGCTGTAAGGGCTCACAAATTTTTTTTAAATTACTTGTTCTGATTTCGTTCCAAGCTGGCTTATAGTTCGGCGTGGCTGCCTACATCTTCCAACCCTTACATTTTAGTGCGATGACTCGGGTACAGCCCTTCCCTTCCCTTCAGTTCTCAGCCAGATTGATGACAGAAATGGAAGGATAAAGATGTTATCAGGAAGGCCCTCAGTGGCTCCTTCCGGGGCGATGGGAACCTTCACTTTGAGGCTTCATTTCAGTGCTTTAAGCTCAGAAGTTGGAAGTGATTTCCATGACCAGAGTAGGCATTCTGTGTTGTCGGATGGGACTTTGCCCCCAGAGTTTAATCAAAGCTCAGGTTTCTTTCCAGCAGT